GTCCTCCAGTTCTGCACTGGGTGTTCATTTTCAAAGAAAGCAGCTATGCTTGACAATAGGGTACTGCTATTCAGACCATCTGAGACCATCCCACTATTCACTCTGGCAGAACCGAAATCAGTTGGAACTTATTCAACTGTATCAGATGGTGTTAGTCGATAAACCGCTTTCAGCGGCTAATACTTCAATCCTACCTTTCGCCTTTAGGCTGGCCTCATTCTAACTCTTTATCATTTTCCTGTCACAATTTTATTTTGCTCGTTTATATACCATTGGGGCACAATTTAGTTTGTTTAACTATTCAGGCATGCAATCTGCCTGACATCCGTGAAAGCCTTGGTGCACAGCCGCTGCTTGTTCAGACTGAGAAGTCACAGCTGCAATAGTTATGGCATGTGTTGCAAATTCCTCCAGAAAGGAAGGCGAAGCAGCTGTTCTTTGTTTAACCGACCGGCAGAAGGTGCAGGGGTCGGTCAAGATGAACTTGGTGCAGATATATGGACGGAGTCTGTTCTAGCCTCCGGTGGTGTTCTGCCGAAGCCCAGACTTTGATTCAGGAACAGTAACATTGGAAGCACTGTCTGACGTGTCTGCTTCCGCGACCCGAATGGCGAAGGAGTTAGGGAAGATGAAGATCTGTCATAGTTGATTGTCACTCCCTGTTTAGCTGATTGGTTGAAAGTTTGTGAGGATCGCGGTTCGCCTTTCGTAGTGCGTCGTCCCTTACCGCTATTCCTTCTACGATTGCCTGCAATGGAAAGCGAGTAAAGCCACTTGCTGACTGTACCAGTGATAGGTGATTCGCATTAACTGAAAGCGCTGAAACCAAGTCCATAGCGAGAAGTTGGCCGACTCCTGAAGAAGGCGTGAACAGAGTGGCAATCTAATAGCGTCATAATTGGGAGGGGGGCAGAATGCTACCAGTTGTGATGTGCAATTTAAACCTGCGCCTAAAAATTGAGTGTGCTGACTGTTTCAGTAGTATAGCGTTTGTCCTTCTACACTGTCGGTTTCGCAGGCTTCTCTTACGTTTCCATTGCATGGACAGAAGTTTCAGAAGGATTTACTAATGGTGCCAGGCAAATTTCGCTGGCTTGATTCCAAGGCAGAACAATGCCAATGTAGTCTGAATATCCCCGAGTCACTTGTTGTTTGATTTGCCTCTGCCTATTCGGTATTTACCACATGATTGTATGAGGGAGTCTGTCTTTCGAGTCTGTGCTCCGGCATTCCGGCTAAATGTGCAAAGAAAAAAAAGATTTTTCACCGTTGGGAATGTTGGAGTTCCTTCACTTTCATCACTGGGTCATTTTGGCGCCCTTCTTGTCATGAAATTGATCGTGAGGTGCTGATCGCCGTTTCTATGTTATCAGTCAGGAGGACCTTATTTTAAAGACAGAAGCGACTGCAGTTGCAGTGGCAAGTACAGTCTTGCCACTGTCTTCCCACAAATTAATATTCATTTATCAACTTCGCAAGGAAGAATGACAAATCACTGTGACAGAGGCTTGAACTCGGGATCTATCGGTTCTGACTTGGAGTTCCTTGGACTGAGCAATATGCGGTAAATTCCTTCTTCAACGGGTGTTTGACCTTGAACAGAATCGAACCTGACACCTCCGGAGTTCGAAGCTGACCTTTAGACCCCACGTCACGCAAAAAGCTCAGTTGTGGAATCCATAGTCCTGACATCCATTCGGGCAGTCACTGCACTCTTGTTCAGTTGAACGTTTTCCATGGTAGTTAAATACACCGGCCGCTCGTCTTTCACCTTCATAACCTGTACTAAGCTTTGAAGAATTATAGACGCGTGAGTAACCGAATGGTGGGTTTTATACAAGTCGGTCGGTTTTCAGCCGACGCTCTATTGTATCCCTGACTATGATTATCATTGATGATGCGGGCATATTTAAGTTTTTCGAAATTTTCTTAGCCGTTCTTAATATTTTCGAATATGATGCTTTCTTCCTCGACAGAGATACAGTAGCTGATTCCGTGATTAACTGCATGGATGACATTTTCTTTCATATTGCTAATCTTGAAATTATAAGTTGTTGCGCACTCCATAGCTTGAATATTCTATCTTGATTCGCTTTCAACACGGAGCTGTTGCTCCTAACTGGGCCACCGAGGTCCATCATGGACAGCAGACCACAAAGGGATATCGTGGCAAAGTGAAGTTCAGTGAGGCGCGTCGTTTTGAATCGTTATGATAGCGAAGAAGGCCTTTCATGAATCCGAACCAGACGAAGAACTAATCCCATTTAACCTGATTATAACACAAGATTTCTGTTTGGGTAAAAAACCTTTTTCTGGCTAAGAAATGGAATGAGGCCCCAGCTCACATTAATGATGAAAGCGTGATGCACCTCTTGAACTTATGGAAGTGATAGTGGATAACTCACTGTTGTAGCCAAGGTAGTCAAGTTTATTTCTATTCTTCCTGGCATGATTTGCATTACATGGAAAAGCGAACCTGAGGGTTTCGATTCTAACTGATTCATTGTAGCATTTTCTAAAATGTCATCGAAATTTCTGTTCTCATTGTGACGAAGTGCAATACACTCGATATTATTTCCCACCGTCAAACTGTTCCATGCTTTCATTGCTTCCTAGCTTCTGTAACGTGAAGATGAGGTTGACTTACCTGAAATCACTCCCACTGTAATCACTTATATAAACATTACATAAGCATTGCTATTGATTATTTTATTCAGTCGCAGCAGGTACGAAGCCTATGTATAAGCAAAAAGCAACCGATGTATAAACCGGTTACATAATATGCACATCAGAATAAATTTAGCCTAACCAAAGTTGTTACTGCAGTACGTTATAATAATCCATCAGAATGCAGAACACAATGGTAGATGCATATCCTGTTTCTGCAACGTTGAACGGAATTCATGGGTCATCAATGAATAGCGTCAAGTAGAAAAGTTTATGTTAATATACATGAACAGTGACCTTAATCTCTGAATAACGATGGATAGTGTGAGAAAAAGTGATACGACGGCGGCTGCCATGATTTCATAGATGACGCGTACGTGAATGTGCACAAGTCATCGCTTTATCGTCTTACTGGTTTAGCCGTCCTTTACGGAATTAGGTTTTTGCGAATATTCTAATAAAGTTAGACTCGATACGATGAGGTACTTTGTGAGTTGTGATGTATGAAGAGGTGATCCGATAAACGATGCTAAATCCCATAGCGGTGACGTGAAATCTAGCATAACAGCTTTCCAAAAGGCCAATAACTCGGCAAGACGACCTATCTACCGGTCAAATGACGAGCAAATGGTCATTTCCTGAATTTTGTGTAGGGATTTGTATGTTGTAATGCATTAATGTGAAGGTCCCTTCGGGGAGGTGTTCCTAGCTGTACGACTTCCTGCCGTTGAGTGACAGACACTTCATGAGTTTTCCTCTTCAGGCGCCTAACAGAAGCGACACTAGACGTTCAGTTCAGTTCCGGTGACACGACTGGTTATTGGCGACAGTGGCGCACATGCCTTTCTGCTTAGCTGTCACTCATGTTTCATTGGACGTAAATCACCCACGAATCCGTTTCCTTCAGCCGGGTCAGCTGGTCTTGAAATATCAACATTCGTCGTTGATATATTCGGCGTCATTTGACGCTCTCTCCTCTCCTCCCACGAATCATAGTTGAAAATCGAAGCTCATTAATTTCTTTCAGTCGTTAAGCTGCTCTCCTCGCAGTCGTTCAGTAGTCTTCTTTCTAGCAATGAGCGCTGACGACATCAAGTACGACTGCACGGTCGACGAGCTGGTGCAGCTGATGGAATGCCGTGGACTCGACAGCGTTTCAGAACTTCGAGGCAAATACGGAGGTCCAGCTCAGCTGTGCGACCGTCTGAAAACGTCGTACAACCAAGGTTAGAATGTTTTCACAGCTATTGTTTGTAATGTGTTTGTTCTACTCTTTGTCTATCAATTTCGTTAACCGATTGATACCGATTTAATATATTAACATTGTGACGATGAAAACTTTCAGCTATGGATGTTTGTTCAGTTTATGTTGATGTCAGAAGAATGACATGCGGACTCTCATCGGTCTTTTTCCAGATTTCACTATGGACCAGCTACCACCACATATTTTAATAACTTTGGATAAAGTAACGCCGAGAATGGCAGTGCAAAGTATTGGTTGACTTTGAGTTGACATAGGACTGGCACTGATCTCGATTTTAACCGATGAATTATCTTCATCCAGTTGGAAGTTGTTTTCTTGAGTTATCGGCTGCTTTTCTCACTGAACGTGTATAGAAGAATCTTTAGCAGCAGAATGTACCAATTTCGAATGTAAAAAGTCGTATGTACCTAGTTTCCTTTTGATGGTGAATTTTGATTCAGAAGCAAAGTTGATCTCATAATTAGTCACTTAGTTGGCCTCAATTTTGGTTTGTCCTCAGAATAAAATGAAGCTGCTATCAGACCCTCTGTCCTCAATCCAACCTTTTTCATCCTTCATTCGTGACACTATTGATAATTGTTTAACTCGGTTTCAAGCTGGATTATGGACGATTAGTTTCTCGACATTACATGTACCGTAATCTAATCTTTCGCAATGTCTCTTTTATGAGTACAGTAAAACGAGGCATTGTCATCGTCAAGTCCACTCATGACCACTGCTGCTGAGTCAATATTTTGACATAACTTTTCATATATAAATTCCTATATACCTGCTAATTACTTTCTGATAATTCCTGTTCATTACTTTTTTCATTTCTTGCAACTGTATTATAATCTGTTTCCTTACTTCATGAAATTGCACGTCATTAATATCGCGGCTGCAATCTTGTCTGTTCCTCTCGATAGTCTCGCAGCTATCTAAGGCTCATAAAATCAATGACCGCCTGCATTTACGACAGGTTTTAATTAATTAGCCGTTTTATTACCACCTGGTGTTTATCTGCCTGAGTAATTCAGTCAATGGAGCAATTCTGTCGCTATCCAGAGACCGTACTTTCCGATTCCGGAGGGGGAGGGGTGGAGTTATTCGTCTTTTATCCTTGTGAGATGCATAAATATTCACCGCTGCCCTGCAAGAAAGCAGGAGGCTGCACATCACACTAACACATTTAGTTTCGTTGCTGCCTTCTAAAAAATCAGCTTATCTGAGCTGATGGTATGAAATAGCGATCGTGTAATAGCACGTTGTCATAAATAACATCCATCGTGGAATTGTGGTTGCTACGACTGTCACCATCATTGGTTTAACCGGCTTTACTGATATCTTGAATGTTGCTGAAGAGAGTTACAAATAATTTTCCTTGTTTTATGAATTTAGTTGATACTGACGAATCTGCTAACTAATCTGTTGCCTCTTGTAGCCTTTTGAACTTTCAGGTTTAACCTCAAGGTAAAGTTGCCAGTGGTGACCTCATTTCCGGTGGGTTATTCTCGCTTCGTCATGGGCCGTCATTGGTTTATACGTTTCCGTTTTATGTGACGCCTTGCCGGGCCTATCCCAAGCCATTTCCTGATAGTATTAATCGGTACCTGTCTATGGCTGCTTATTCATCACAGCTGACTTCAATATCCATTAATCGATCCTCCATTAACAACATGGAACTCGACAAAAGGCCGGTAGTTAAGCTCAGTAAATAATGGAGATGTGACGTAGGCCAACCTCTAAGCGGTTGCAAATTCTTTTTACTTCTGTTTCTATTTTAGAGGGGAATTTCTACTGTTTCAATTACAGAGGGGAATCAGTTTCAGCGCTTTTTGTATTCATTCGGTAGTGGTGTTTATTCAAAACACTTCTAATGTGAGATACGAATGCAATAAATGACTTAAACGTACTACAGAATCAAAAGCCTGAAGTGCATTTTACTGAAGCACTTATTTAATGCATTTGTTCGGTGTGAAAACATGCTTCACTTATTCACATGAAACGGTACGCGTTTATCTGTTCGGCCTTGGGACAGTATGCAGCACTTCATGCGATACTCCCTCTTATTCCATGCTGAGTTGATCGTTGGGCGGAAATGTATGATGCGTGAGGTGATAATTTCCACGTAAAAGTTTTGATATCAGTTGCTCTGTTATCGAACTTCTGGACAAGGCATTCATAGGTCATATGGCGCGTGATTTCGCCATTATTGGCAGAACCGCATTTCTGGTTGTCTTCGTCTTCCAGTTGTAGGACAAATCATTGCAGTGGCCCTGTCCAATTGAAATTCTTTCCGGAAGTTGGAATTAAATCCCCTTTTCCATTGTACTGTCTAAAGTGACGTTCAACTAAACTTATTTGTCTGCCAACATCATCTGTATTTTTCTGGTTTATTACGAAGCATGATTAGATTTCGTATTACTATTTACTCAGCACACTCGCCGTCCTGTTCATAAAATGCTAAAATCTCTTTAACAGACTCATATAACATTTATTTCTGCAGTATCTACAAGAAATATTCTTTGCTTCTTTATCAGTTTGTGCACTAGTTATAGAGTTTAAAACAGAATTTAATAGAAAGCTACAAATTAGCATAAAATACTGGTTGTATTCAACTTATCCAAAGAACTGATTGTAGTATGGATGAAATGTGAACATTGGCAATAAGGAATGTATCAAGTGAAGAACTACAAACGTCAAATAAACAATGCCGAAAGGAGGCAAAACCGTAGTGGGGCAGATTCAAAACTGACTGTTCTACCAGCTTCCTCAAAAATACTTGCATCTGGGCTCACCGTGAGTTACTAGCGCAGCTGTAACGAACCGCTGCAGAGTGAGGTCAGACCTTTTCATCAGCATCCCAAAGAATAGCATTAAACAGAGATGACGACACGCCATGTGACAAACAATGCATACCGAAACGTAACCTAACGTATTAGCTATATCTCATAAACACAGCTAACTGTCATTTTATGATGTCGCTAGTGGTGGGTGAAGACCGGTCTGTAGTGCGCTTTCTGTCTAGTTCCAGGAATTCTGAAACGGTAGAATTAAAGCTTCCCTAAAACGCCATCACAGGGCTTAATGGCCGAAACTCACGACCTCCGTGACTGGTTCATTCGCATTCTGTAACTGCTCTGTACACAAAGGCAAGAATTCACGACCTTCCCTTCCCGGA